CCCGTGGATCTCTTAACCCGTGGATCTCTTAACCCGTGGATCTCTTAACCCGTGGATCTCTTAACCCGTGTTTTGAGCGGTGCCATAGATCCAAGAGCATGCACATAGCCTCTGGCTGATATCTGAAATCAGCGTTATTGATCATCATCTGGATAGCATCAGTGATTGATTTCTCTTTACAGATGGGGTTTGCGTGCTCTCTGGAGTGACGGCCTGCTGCATATTTGCGTCTCAAATCATCTAGTCTCTCCCCGGCACTGTAACGCTTCCTATTAGCAAGGGTCTCATTAAATTGATACTTGCAAAAAGTTTCCCAGCCTCGATTATGTGATATCTTATTTGAAGCTTGACGTATGTGTGGCGACTGTCACCGGTATATCACTCTGCGTTCGTCCTGAGAGTCTTCGTACAATCACTGAAAAGAAAGTGGCTCATGCTTTAACAAGAAAGAAAGCCAAGAGCATCATCAACTCCTCTCTTTTCTTTTGACGAATCAGCGTAAGGGATCTGCAAGTGGTTCTGTAAAAATATAACCCTATACTTGTATATAAGTGCGAGTCCCAGATACTCTTTATTCTCCCAGCCATTCTGGCTCCAATTGGTAGATCTATTTTCACTAACCAATGTTGCTTGACTTGCGTGGCTCGTCGGTTGGCACAAAAATGAGCTCCCTTCTGTTCTGACTGACACCCAAATCTAAAGTTCTCCACACCAAGCCTAGTAGATTAAGATCTATCAGGCACATTATCCAGCTTCTTCCTCCTGAGATACTCAATGGCTCCCTCAACAGATCCACCAACTTGGTTCAGAGCTTCAACATTGTGATCGAAGTCGTAAAAGCCCTTGTTGTTCAACTGTCGCAATTGCTCAGCGTAATAGTCCTCGTATCTGACCTCCAAATGAAGCTCGTCCAGATCTTGCATTGGACTCCGCACGTCAGGGATACCCTCTCTCATCTGAATACCCGCTAGGTCTGGCGGGAAGAGGCGTGTGACAGACGTGTTCTGTTTTCGTTGCCCATGCACATTTTCTGCAATGAATACAGGGGTAAGGAATGCCCCTATCCCTTCGCAGCCGGACGAGCTCAGGGACTCGCCTGCTATCATCATGTCATCGTCGGGAAGTGGCGTTGTTAGTGGGAATAACTGAAAGAGCGGTTGAGCTTGAAAATTTTTTAGCGGAAGTTCAAAACCGAGTAGGGCCTCGATCAAGTTGGGGTTCTGGAAAGCCGCATCCACCCCTTGAAGATGGTCAGGAGCACATATGTTATCAGGTGCGGTATCCGTTAAGTTGGCAAAAAGCTGGTTGATCATGTCTGTCTTGGCAGAGATAGGTGTTGATGCGGGGGTATTAACGCCGGAAGCCGGATCCGATTGCTGATTGCTGGCAGCGCTGTTATGGATGAAGACTGTGTTACCGCTCTTGATCCCGCAGGCGCTCAAAGTTTTGTCGCTCGCCATAACTCGACCAGAGAAGATTACGCGTGACGAGTTTGCAGAAATCTCCTTAGGGAACTCTGCGGCAACCTTCTCGCGGAGGTCAAAGTCAGTTTCTAGACCGTCCATGATGAAATCGCGCGAGCTCCCCGATAAGATCTTCACCTTGAAGGAGATCTGGGAATCATTGCTCGATTGGGGATTATCGGCCATTTCATTGGCCGGTGACATCGTACGGCGCGGTATAGAATTTGAGCGGTGACAGCGAGAGTTGAAACTGAACCAAGGAACGGGGACAGCTCCTACAGCGTCATGAGTTTGTATTCCTAAGATGATGACGGAAGGGAAGTTGAAAGTAAGATAGGTCAATCGAGCGAAGCCCAGAGGCGAAAGGCCCAGCAAGGACTAAGTTACTGGATTTTTGAAGTGCAGGTTCGGTTCATGCTCTGGTAGCTCAGGTGGTATTTAATTGTGGAAAGGGAAACTCGTTTACCCAGGATCTTAGCTTTGTCGCACTCCAGAAATCCCCTTTTCCCTGCCGCAGAGTCCTGGTCCGGAGCTTATTGGATGGCTGCCCAAGGGCTGTTGTATCACTTGTGTGGTCAGGTACTCCGTATGGAATTCCGTGATAATAGGTGGCGCTCTTGGCTGGCGACAGACACATGAATTGAAAGGCGGAACCAACGACTAGCAATTTTCAACCCCTTTGTTCCGTACTGAGTCAGGGGCTCTAGCCGTTCTTAGTAGTCGAAGGCAAGCCTTACTCTCTCCATGTTGAGATGCAATAAGCCAAGAAGAGTAATGATCTTAATCAAAATGTAGGCCTATGGAATCAAACTGTGTTTTTATGAGTGATAATTGAGGTACGGAGCACAAACATGATTGTTCTGCTGGTGAAATACAGAGCTTCAAACATCACAGCGTCAACCTAACAGCAGCCTCACTCTAGGCTATGTACAAGGATAGGTGACGATGTAGCTGCAAACCCCCGGTAGGAGCGGTATGCCTGTTCACAAGCTAGTGTGTACTGTGTGATCGCTGGAGGGTACCTCCCCTCATTACTTTTTGTGAATGAATTTTGGGACTTATCCTTGCCCAAAGACTTGAGGCCCCGGGACGAATCTATCAGGTTTCACCCCTCAAGTTGGCTGAGATTAGACTCTCACACGGACCACCACATAATCTAGCGGCTGAAGATGGCGCCCCGCTAGCAGCCGCTAAAACAGGAATTAAGGGGTACAAATCCACAGTTGCGCTACTTCCCGTGCTATGTGAATTTACCATGTGTCTCCTGGGGGCGTGGCCTATCCTCCTGCGAGAAGGTGCTAAAGCTTTTCGAGACAATCACCCTGCATCTCTCGGAAACGCTGCGTGTTCCCAGCTAAGTGTGCATGTTTTGATATTGGTCGCGCTTGCCTTAGCTCAGACCCCGGCCTTGTCAGCTTTCAGCCCCCTCGCTTCTATGATTATAAAGCCAGTAAGACAAGGCCGTTTCTTTCATCAATGACCTCATTGAGGAAGAAGTCTTTGTTTTCTCCCTTGTTTCCACAGACTTCTTGGCGCTGTTTGCGCCTTTGGAGTGGAGTTGCAGGGATTATTGGAAACAATGCCGCTCGTCAGGCGCATGCATATGTAGTTGCCTTGGTAGACTTGCATCTTTTGCGACCTCCTCGACAATTGAAGTAACCCCGAAGCATCATTGACTTTGCGTGACTACGTACTTCCCATCACACCTCCTTCTACCTCTGATGATATCGATTACGATTCAGTTTCCGTTCACCTCGTCAAACGTGATTGCTGAAGCTCAGAGTGCTTGAACTCTATCTTAGGTAAACGCATGTAGTTGTTGTCTTTTCAATGTGAGGTGAGGGCAGTATCGCTCTGTTTTCTCTTACCTTTCAACACCGCTTTTTTTAATTCGATATCATACGCTTTTACCGCAATAGAATCACCCCTGAGCTGGTAAATCCATGCTCCGTCACTGTTAAGCAACCCCATCCTCAACACGAGCCCAGTAGGTAGTGCATTAAGAAGAGAGCATTTCACGTGGTGCCCTTTGCTTAGGTACGTCGAGGCGCGTGATTCTCGACTTCCTGGAAAGTCGCTGTGCAAGGGTGATTCATCCCTGCTCAGCTGCAAGCTAAAGGCAGCGGCAAGGCATTCTCAGGAAGAGTGATGGTTCGCCTTTCTCAAAGAGGATATTGAACAAGCAAAGAGTTTCTACTCATATAGGTAATGCACTAATACCTCTTTCGAGTGCGGCATATATATTAAAAGAACATAGGAAATTTGCAGAAAGTCATGCAGCGGCACGCCTGAGGTGGCATGCTTCCCGGCCAATGTACGATTTCAGAGAGCTGGTTGACGTAATACCAAGCTTCGCCAGTCTTTATATTCACTTGGCCACTCGGCGGCAAGGAGACCACTGCGGTGTTTTCGAACTTGGCAAACTCTTATGCAGTCAGGAAGGTGCTCAATATGACCGATATGAAAGGCGTTGCCCAAAAGGCGGCAGCGGTTCCCATTCACTTGCCTTATCTACAGTATATCTCATCTTCCCCATTGTTTCTATTCCTTCTCTGCCAGTCTCTGCCGTGTCTCGGGTAGTAGTGATGGCATGGGCAATGAGAATGTCATCATTTCATTCTTCGAGAGTTTCGGGAGTGGAACCGACACTTAGGTCTTGGTTCGCGATCAGGCGTCTCAATTGATTCAGCAAAGAAGACTGCTTGGGTCGAAGTTGTGAAAGTCAACGGGACAAGGAGCCCCGCCGGGAGACTTGCATGTAGAAAAAGAAGGGGAAAATTATATTTGCCACGTATCAATACTTTGACCCAAGTTCTATTGTAGCGACTGTTTGTTCCTGACATGTCCAACGAAAAGAATGTGTCGAGTCAGTCAGATGACGTTGGAGAGGCTCTGCGTGGGGCCATGGAGTCAGGTTGCGCTGTGATGCTGCTGTCACTCAAACCCAAACGTCAACTCGTAGTCTACAGACTGAATATTAAGCACGATAGTTTACGGCCAGAGATACAGGTCTGGCTGCACCAATTCTTCTGTCACCTAGTCGCCAAGTACGTCCACCAATCGGCGTGCCCAGGACAACGCCGCTACAATAGCTGGCCTGTCCTCCCTAGTTCGCGTGTCGAGGGGCGGCCGCCTGGCCTTGCTGCCCAGGGACATGTCATCGTCACTGATGTCATCGACCTCAACGTCGCCAAATTTCAGCTCCGACCGCGCATGTACCAGATAGGGCCTCATAGCATGACAATACCTCCACGACGGCTTGTGATACGACCATTGCCGAGCTTTCTCAATATGAAATGAGGCGTCTGGCAGCGCCTCCTCCACTGTCGGTATCTGTGGGTGGCTAGTCACGTGGAGGAGCCTGAATTTGGCCCCGATCACGATGAAGACGGCAAGGTCGTACGTGTCCCTTACCCAGAGAAGATGATCAGTCTTTCACGGCTACTCAGTATTCAAGGGAGCTTTACTCACGGCGCATCATTGTTGATCCAAATCTCGAAAGCATGGCGGAAATCCTTCACTTCAGCCTATGCGTGCGCTTCAGCTTCGGCCAGCTTCCATCCCTCATAGGTATCCTCGGACATCGGCTAGAACAAGGCCAAGAAGTAAACCGATCTGCAACTTCCATCTGGCCGCATGCGGGAAACTATCTGGAGGTGTGCGCCGAGTCGCTGCCGTGAAATCTGAGCCCGATATGTGCGGTCTAGATTATCGAAGTAGCAAGACTGATGAGCTCCGCAGCCTCCTATGCCTTTTGGTATGAAGAACACAAGTGCGTACCAGACCGCGAGCCCCCGCGCACGCGAAACGATGCGACGCTCATACGGCGAGCTTAGTACCTTTTCGAGCAGCCCCCAGTTGATACCCGCCTCTTCAAAAGGTAGTCGCCAACTGTGTTTGTTAGTCAGGAGCCTGTGCAAATGCTCTCTTTTAAACTCTTCCAACGCTACATTGGCGAATCCATCTGAAAGGGGCAATTGCACGTCTGTCCTGACCCGCAAGGGGTTAGCCCATCGCTCCCAGGGTACTGGTACGGCAAGCATACTTGATGTGCAGGAGCGACTGCTTGATCGGATAACCAAAATGCTTCAGACCTAGCCATCTGTGACATTGGAGTGGTTTAACTGGGGGAATAAACCTCGTTGCTCTATCTCGTCTTGGACAAGAAATTGCAATAAATCGGGCTCTCCTTCAAGCTGACTTATGATCGTGAGCTCCCTGTCCATAACAAGCTTGCCAAGTGCTCTGTGTAGACTTATGTCAGTGAATCGTATAGCAGATATAATACAGAGTGTAGAAGAACAACTGACTGGGCCCAGAAACGGGCGAATGAACTAGACCGAGCGAGGCATTACCTGAACGATTGGCTATCCACCCGTACTAATGAAAAAATGAGCGAGCTCTTCAAAGCTGCGCTGGCGGTTGTGATGCAGGGGTGTTTTGGCTCTGTGTCGAGCCCCAGCCAGTACCGATTGACAGGCTCGAGCAACGCATGGATGGAAGTCTGTGGCAGCTGGACCAAGAAGAAGAAGCAAACTCCGTTACAGTCGAGGAGTTCTCGGTCGAGATCGACCACGACGGTATGTTCTAGGAACAGATCGCCGTGGGGTCTCACGTAGCCTGATGCGAGGAACAGGTCTTGCGATCCGGCGATTTCGGAAAGCAGCTGTGACTTGCCGCCAAGGTCAGGTGAGATGAGCCATGCGTGTTCCAGGCGCTGTTTCAATACCTTGCAGTCGCCTTGCTTCTCGTCCATCCATGCTTGAAACTTAGAATAGTCCCTTGGGACGCTATCAGCGATGGTTTCGACCAGCTCGTCCGAATCGCTAAAATAAAAGTGTTAGCGTGTCAATCCAGCCAGCAGATAGAAAAGGGCAGGCAACCGTTTACTGCTCATTCCAAAATACATAGGACTTTCCGCCATATCGAAATGCCCACAGCCCTCCAGTACCCGTGGCAAATTCGTCAAGGTATGTGTACACTGCTTGGATATGTGTTCCATGAGAGATGAGAAAATGGTATTGCAATGGGTCACTATGGTCCTCCCGAGGTGGGAATGGTTAGCGGAATTACTCACTTATCTAGAATGGGATGAAGCGTGTCCCAAGTAATCAAGGGATCTGGAATAGTCTTGAGATTGGCGGTGAGAAGAAAGATTGGCGGTGAGAAGGAAGCGGAGGTCCTAGAAAGTTAAAAGCGAGTTGCGGAATATGTTTAACCGATCAAAAACCATCTTGGGCTCTGTCTCGAGAAACTTCTTGAGCCTCTCTAGAGACGCCGCACGAACAGGTACACATTCAGCGACAGCTAATGAAGACTTTTCCTTGCGAATGGCAGCATTGATCTCATTAGCCATGTCCTGACCATCCCTCTGTGACTCAGAGACAGCAGCTGGAGCCTTGACAACACTGGTTTTGAGTCGGTTGGGATCTAAGATGGAGTCGAACATCATGGTACGAATCCACTCAACAGTTTTGGCGTATAATTTCAGGCCTTACCGTGAACTCAATCGTGATTCTGCCAGGATCGCTAATGCAGTAAGCAGACTGGAGGGAGTAGATGATAGTGTCTCGCCCAAGTTCCATAGTAACCTGCTCAAAACAGACGTGCTTTCCATCGCGCATGATATGGGTGTTGAATGAGCTATTCCTGAATAATGACATCAGGGGCTTGAGTTCTTAGGCAATCTGAAACTTACGAATATGGATGACCATACGGACGAAGTTGGTTGGAACATGTTCAAATTGGAGGAACAGCGGGAGCTCGCCTTGGGTTTTGACATCAATGAGCTTTTGTGCAAGTCCACAACTGTGGCCAACTTTTCAAGCGTATCAAGAACGAGCAGTGTTAGATTCGGTCAAGTGAAAGACTGAGTACCAGGAATGCCCCACTGATCGATAGCGGACGCAGGAATAGGCTCATCGTTCTCCTAGACGGCGACATCCTTAACGCGTCGCTTAATCTCGATCGGAAGTTGGAGCGGCTCGCCAGGAGAGCAAACTACCCTACATTTATGCAAATGATGTTGTACATGTTGCTATCGTATGGCGCTCTTCCGATACCTAGGTGTCGCGTTGTTTGAGCCCTGTAGAACCTGTTTACCAGCTTCAGTCCACATACCCCAACAATGCAACACATTGGCATTCCCTTGGATCGATATGGATAGCTCGATGAACGAAGGACAGTTCTCCTCTGGGCCCCCTGAAAAGAGATCCCTTCGATTCTTTAACCGCCGCACAACCCCAGCAGGGACCGGTTGCGCAGGCACACCTACCGCGCAAGGTAGTCACCTGGTCCTCCTCTGAATGTAGCGGCAGATCTCTTGCCTATACCCTGGGTACCGATGAAGGCACACTGCTTCGAATGTGATCCACAAGATCAACGAAATGTTGCGCCGTACCAAAGTCTTCGCTGGGCAAGACGATCCACTCGACGTTAGGCCGAGTGGACTATCAATGGCTCGGGGGCAAGTGACCTTATCGTCTATTCCTCGACAAGACTTTACGAGCCACTGCCTCTCCATTATGTCCTGTTCAAAATGCCATTCGAGCGCCGAACCGCGCATCTCGTCTTTACGGCGATTATCCTTCCTAGTCGCCACCTCGAGCCGAAGCTGAGCGAGCTCCTGTTTGCATCTGTCCATTGTCTCATTACAATTTCTCATCGCCCGAACCCTGCTGGTGTGATCGAGGATCATGATGGTGTTTACGAGGGAGGTCTGAGACAAGAACTCTTGGTTGAGAGATGCGGGTAGTGAGTTCATGGATCCTAGCGCTGTAGCTAAAAGCTTCATTTTCACTCTCACGAGGGCGGAGCTGATGGGATCTGGGGGAGACTAGCGATCGGGTGCGGGAATTTGGCCGGTCGGGCTGAGGTGGAGACTAGCGCAGCAACTACCTATGAACAAAAATCAGTGATTAGATGAGAGTTGGGGATGCCTACGTACAAGAACCAGGCCGATAAGTTGCATGGTGCTGCAGCGAGGGCAGCTTGGCTGGTTGAGCACGAAGCTGCTTCCGCCTTCAAAAAATCGACAGTCTGGGCACGATAGCAAGCTGGAACAGAGAAGTGGCGAGGCAACGCGTTTCCCAACCGTATTCTCGCTGGACGCTTCAGATTCAAACGAAGCTGGAGAGTTTGAGGCGAACGACGGAGTCCATCATGAGAATCCTCTTCGTCGCTGTTGACCGCACGGCCACTTCTAGGATCATGAGTCGCGGTAATGGCTCGG